TTCTACCTGGTTTATAATGAATTTCGTATTCGAATTCTTCGAGTTTAAGTCTCCAACGAACTAATCTACTATTAGGATCTTTACAATTTGCTAACCATTTAAGTGGACGATGATCTGTACAGATAATAAACTTTTTACCATATAAGTATGGTCTAAAGTGTTGTGTAGCCCAAACGATCGCTAAAAGTTCTCTATCAGTAGTAGAATAGTTACATTCGGCTTTATTTAACGTGCGAGAGGCATATGCGATTGGCAAATCTTTACCAATTTCACCTTGTGACAAAATGGCACCTATTGCAAAGTTTGATGAATCTGTGGTTAAAATAAAATCTTTAGAAAAATCTGGAAATTGAAGAATTGGTTCTTGAGATAAAATATTTTTAAAATGACAAAATGAGTTTTCCTGTTCAAGTCCCCAGGTAAACTGAGTATCCTTTTTAAGCAATTGTGTTAATGGTTTCGCGTGTTTTGAAAAATCTTTAATGAATCTACGATAGTAACCAATGAGTCCTAAGAACTGTTTAATTTGTTTTGAAGTTTTAGGTTGAGGGTAGTTTTTAATAGCTGATATTTTATTTGGATTCGGTGAGACACCTTTTTCATTTATAACATGACCAAGATACGCGACTTCTTTATGCATAAATTCGCATTTATCGGGTTGTAAAAGTAATTTATTAATTCTTAATCTGTCAAAAACATTTTTTAAACGTAAAGAGTGTTCTTCTAGTGTACTACCAAAAATAACGATGTCATCCAAGTATACAAAGCATTGAAGGCCTTGTAAACCCACTAGGGCAGCATTCATTGCTCTTTGGAATGTACTTGGTGCATTTTTTAAACCAAATGGCATTCGCAGATATTCGTAATGACCTAATGGACTAGAAAAAGCAGTTTTAGCAATATCTTCCTTTTTCATGAGAATTTGATGAAATCCGGACGCGAGGTCAAGGGTTGTAAAATATTTTGAATGTCCTAATTGATCTAAAATATCTTCGATATTTGGTAAGGGAAATTTATCACCAACCGTAATTTCATTTAATTTGCGAAAGTCAATTACAATTCTAAATTTACGTTCACCTGATGCGTCTAATTTTTTAGGTACAATCCATAAGGGACTATTATAAGGAGAGACTGATGGTCTGATAATTTTTTGTTTAAGCATTTTTTCAATCTGTTTTTCGACCTCTCTTTTGTGAACTTCTGGGAATCTATAAATTTTTGTTGCAATTGGGGTAGGGTCGGTTGTTTTAATTTCGTGTTCGAGAATACTTGTGTGTGTTAATGTGTCATTAGGAAGATAAAAAATGTCGTTATATTGCTCGCATAATTTTAAAATAGAATATTTTTCTTCGGGATTTAAATGGTCTAGTCTTAGATTTTCTTTAAGTAATTTGATGCGATTATTTGTTACTGATTGATTTTTAACATTAATAAAGATTGTAGATTGTTTTTCTTCAAAAGGTTCTAGAAAAACTTGTAATTTATTTATTTTTAATTTTCGATTTTGAGTATTTAATATAGTAGTAATGGCAGTGCCATTTTCTACTTTGAGAATAGCTTTTGCTAAAAATACACCTTCGGCAATATTTATTTCTGGACAGATACCCTGTGATAAATTTTTATTTAAGATTTCAATTTTGATAATTGTTTCTGATCTAGGTTCTAATACAACTGAATATAAATTTTCATTATTATGATTATTAGGAATTTGAGATATAATTTTTAAAGGTATTTTTAGTGAATTTAATTGTAACTCACTATTGTTTAAATTTATTATTGCGCCTTGTAATGATAAGAAATCGTTTCCTATGATACCGTCATAGGGTATATTATTATTTTGATCAACTAATTGAAATTTAATTGGTATAGATTGATCGTTTAGACTAAGGTGAAGAATTATGCTTCCTGCTGTTTCTACAGGAGAATTAGCACTAAGCCCATTTAATAAAATTTTTTCATTAATATTAAGATTTGATAATAAAGTAGAAAAATGCGCTTGATTTTTTAAAAGTGATACAGATGCTCCCGTATCTATTAAAAATTTTAATTTAATGTTATCACAATATGTTTCGATACACGGACTTACATTATTATTTAAAAGAATATTAAATGTTTTAAGATTTTTAATTATTTTGTTACAATTATTAGGAACCGGATAACAACCAAAATTATTAGGTCTACGGCAAGATTTATTTAGAACCGGATAGCAACCTGAGTTTTCAGATCTACGGCAAGAATTATTTGGAACCGGATAACAACCAAAATTATTAGGTCTACGGCAAGATTTATTTAGAACCGGATAGCAACCTGAGTTTTCAGATCTACGGCAAGAATTATTTGGAACCGGATAACAACCAAAATTATTAGGTCTACGGCAAGATTTATTTAGAAAGGGCTTATTTAAGATTTTTACGTCGGTTTTTATTATTCCCAATCCGCAGAAACGACGTTGTTCTGGGACGCATTCTCGTTTAAAGATTCGGTATTATTGGAGAAATTTGAATTATAATTTATATTTTGATTGGAACTATTTCCTTCATTTTTTCGTTGACGTTTGAAACAATCGTCTATTAAATGACCATTCTTTTTACAATAATTACAAAATTTAGATTGATAAGATGAGTTATAGTTTCCATTTGATTTATGATTTTTATTTGAATTGTAATTTGTATTTGAATGGTTATTTGTATTTGAATTTTCGCTAGGTTTATTTAATTGTACGTTAAATTTTTTATTTTTAAAGCAATCTTGTGTGTTATGAGTTTTTGTTTTGCAATTTTTGCAGAATTTTGATGGACGGGATCCTAAAGAACTAGATTTCGAAATTTGAAGAGCTCTTTCTTCTTCTAAAGCACTAGTTAGAGCGTCTGATAAATTATTAGAGTTTTTACTTCTTAAAAAACGCGATATTTCCGGTTGACTATGGAGGATAAAGCGTTGCAAAGCTAATTCTTTAATAATTTGAACTCTGGCTTTGCGAGTGCCTTCGTCGTTATCGGAAATACAATTAACAATGCGGGTGTATAATTTATCGACTCTGTTGTGAAAAGATAGAATAGATTCGTTAAAATTTTGTCTTATCGTATTAAGATCTTCCATTAATTGTGTGTAATGTTTTTTGTCTGCGTATAATTGTATTAAAAGTTCTTTAAGGTCCTTCCAATCGTTTATTTCTTTATCACGCAATTGTGCTTTTGCACTACCTGTTATTTTCGAAATCACGTATGCTATAAGAGGTTCATTTTGAGAAATGTGGGCAAATTTAAAGGCGTTTTCGCAATTAGAAATAAATTCGTATAACTCTGTGCGATTTCCGTCGAATGATTTAGGTATAAGTGAACAAAGAAAAGCTAATTTGTGTGGAGGAATGTCTGTTATGTTGCTGCTATCAGCACTTCGAAGCGTTTGAGGGTTATTTTCAGGCATTGTGAATAGTAAAAGACGCGAAAATACAAATAAATGTTTAAGAAAAGTAAAAAAAAATTTAAACCTGCTATATAAAATGGGTAAACAGAAATAAGGAAAAAGAAAGGAATAAACGACTTACGTTTGATATTGTCTGTCTTGTGCGTTCTTCGTTGTGGTTGAGGGTTCTTTGTGTTGCTTGATGATTCTTTGTTGATCCAAGGAGTTGAAACTCGCCAAGTTGAAGAAATATAGATGAGTTGCCCTTTTGATTCTTGATTTATTTGATTTTTGATTCTTCTTCTTGTGACCAAATCCAATACGACTGCGCCAAATTTTATGTTGGGATACGAAGAACTAACACTTTGACTCGTAAGATCGTTTATTGTAAATAAGTTTTACATAATAATTAAATGAATAATAAATATTCGAGAAGTTAAATCTTAAGTTAAGTGAGTGAAAAGTAAGTAGTAAGTGTTCTTTTGGTTTCTAAAAATGAGCTTTTATACAGCGCGATAATTTTTATCAGTTAATGGAAAAATAGAAGCGCTGTCTTTGAAATTATGAAATATCTAATGATGCGTAATAATTACTTGAACTATTTGAACTTTTTATTAATTTAATTTATGGACTTATTTTTTGTAACCCTAAAGATCACGACTAAAAGATTATTTAATATACATTAGAAAAACAAACTGTTACCAAATAAATATACAGGGTCTAACAAAAGTTTGTATTATCTTTAGGTAGGTACTATAATAAATGGAGTTGTTCCTATTTATTTATAAAAAAAATGCTTGCCATATATTGGGATGGTTTAAGAAATTATATTTAATGCATTTTTAGAACTCTATATTTTAATAATTATTATTATTTATTCCTATTAATAAACCCGGCGCATTCGCCATTTTTTAAAAAGTATTTTTTTAAATATTAAAACTCCTACATTTCTCCACTGGTAGTATTTATAATTACTACATTGGGACTAAGTGAGGTTAGAACCGTCAGATAGTAATCGAGCGGCGACTATAATGATTATGAACAAAGCTGGTTTGAAACTATTAATAGTTATTGTTATTAAAAAAAAATAGAAAAAGTAGAGTGTTCAACTAAATATATTATTGTTTAAAAACTTAAATATGCACCCCAAACGTATAAATATTTAATAAATCCGATTTCAAAACTAAACAGCCCAATGTAGGTCAATGTGTGACATTTAGGTATAATTTTAGTACGGCTTAGTTCAACAAAATTGTACATTTCAACGGAAAATTTAAAGCAGTGCATTCGAGAATTTGTGTAGTTTAAATAAATAGAAATGCGCTTGTTTATGAAATATATAAATTTAATTAATTTTTGATGTTTTTAAATAATGATTTTATCATTTTATCAAGATAATGCAAAAAAAAAATATTTTATAATATATATATGCTACAAGATAAGTTTGACGTGTGACATAATAGGGATATAAATATTTTTGATAAAACTTGATAAAGCAAATGTGTTAATAACATACATCATGTTAGTTTTCATTAGATTATTTAAATAAAATAGTTTCATGTTCTAAAGTGGCTTAAGATTTTATTTTGTCATACCTTGTACTCCACCTTTGTCTAGAAAATTGCTTAGTTGAAACGTCGCATTACTGGAGGCAAGGTATTGTGTAAATCTCTGAAAAAAATTTAAACAATGTTACCAACAATAACTAGGATAATAACAGGTCAATTAAATGTACCCCAACTTTTTTCACAGAGCTCGTTATGATATCAAAAAGATTTTTTTTCTTCAAAAATTTCTGTTTTTTTGCGGTATACGCTAAAGTATCGCTAGTAGCGCCACCACTCGGCTGTTATCATCGTAACAAAAGTACAAATTTTAATAATCAGCTGTCAAACGCTTATGTTACAAACGAGTGTTTTTGAGAATAAAGCCGAAAAATGTTAAAAAATATCGGAAAAAAACCGTGGCTCGATTTGTAGTGTTGTTGGGTGTATTTCGAGAGGAAATCCTGGGTTGAGTTTTTACCGGTTTTCCAATAAACAGTGTTAATCTGAATGAAGAAATAAATTGCATACAGTCTCTGTAAATATAAATTATACCTATGAGATACAATAAATACACATTTTAGTAATGATTAATGTGAAAAGTGTAAACATTTCACCAGCATTTAGCATTATTAAAAGCGTTGATTAAGAAAGTCTCCACTCAACGGTAAAATACCATTATATCATGTATTATATATAATATTATGTTGCCATGAATTTGTAGTTATATTTTGTTGTTTAAAATACAGTTGATTTTAAGGTTATGTTTGTGCAAAAATTATTTTTTACTAATGTCTTAAAAATGTCCAAACTTAAATATAAAATATATTAGATAAAGTTATCATTAGTTAATTCTGCACCAACAAATATACTTACCGAATTGGATCCTTTAGCAAAACATAAAAATGCAACGATTTAATCCTTGAATTTTACTTACAATTAAAAACACAATAATTTACCATGATCCCTTAGATAAAATACACACACTAACGTAACTATGTAAGCTTTTAAGCGTTGAGTTTCTTAATCAATGATATAAGGAATAATCAATCGAATTTGAGTACTAAAAAAGTTTTTTAATTTTTTCCTTGCAACGTAAAACACAAATAACGCGATTTAGCTGTGCAATTGAACAAAATTTGTCAAGTAAGACTTCTGCCTTCCTCTCTATTTTGTGAAAAAAATACCTATTTTTTTTAAAATGATGTATAATCTGTGCTTTAAATGTATTGTTGACAATTCTTAAATTTACGCAATGATATCGAAGTCCACCAGATGGCGCGCGCGTTGCGAAAACCCGATACTTCTTTAGCGTATTGTCGAATTTCTAAAAAATCCCAAAACTCAAAATTTTCAGGATACCTTCAGTAAGTGTATATTTAACGGTAAAAAATATTGCGGCGTTGCCTAAGTTACAAACAATTGTGAATTTTTCAAAATCTTTAGGATGCCTTTAGCTAAATAGGGCAAGATGACTTACTAATTAGTAAGTCATCTTGCCCTATTTAAAATAAAAATATTTTTTGTTTTTTTTGTTAACAAATAATATTATTTTTTTTAATGATATTAACGATCGAAACGATAAATCAAATTTTCAAATTTTTTCGTTCCCAAGAAACTTCTAATGGACCACGAATGTAAAATTGTGAAATTGTCATCATTTGGTGGGATGATAGTACACGCCAAAACAAGAAATAATTATGCATTAGAGCTACTGTTTTTTAATAAAAAAAATTCTGTAATTATTTTGACAAAACCACTGGATGTCACTGACCTATCCTATATAGGGTGTCATTTAACTTGAAACTTTAAAATATCTCAGTTAGTATAATAAAAATTAAATGATTCGAGGGGGGAAATCATTCAGTACTAAAATTGGTCATCATACTTATAGGGGGAACAGGGGATAACTTTAAAATTTCCAATGGAACGCCCTATTTTTTATTCGTATTATTCGACTAAAAATAGGTAGATTTTGTCTAAAACATTTTTTCATATTTGTAATAGATGGCGCTGTAATGAAATAAAATCAATTTTGTTCGATTTTTCTTCTGTATTCGATTCTCCAATAATTTTTCAATAAAAATATCACTTTTTTTGGTAATAATTATTTTATTAAAATAAATCTGATTTTTTTAAGAACCCACGATTTTTTAACTAATATTTAAATTTCATTCAATATTTCATTCGTTGATAATTATCAATGGCGCACCATGGTCACTTTTTACCTGCCAGTATTAAATCCTTTAATTCAAAGGATTATTGTACTATTTTTAATAAAAATACCTCATTTAAGGTAAAAAAAACATTATTTTGTCAGTTATTTAATTTAATCCTAATTGAGGTATAAAAAATGGTATTTAGTTATAAATAATAATTATTATTGGGGTATAAAGAAACTGTATACATAGTTTAGGATTATTTAATCAATTTAGTTCGAAGATTAATTTGCAAACAAAAATACCTCCTTTCGTTAAGCAGTTATTCATAATGGATTTTTTAATAGTGGAAGAAAAAATAGAAATTATTTTGATTTATGGAGAAGCAGGCAGGAATCTTGATGATGCTGTTAATATCTACGCTCAGCGTTTTCCGGATAAAATTCGATCACGTACTTTATTAGCAACGGCTGCTAATCCTCATGAAAGCACACGAGAATTATCTAGAGATTTGGGAATACCCCAGAGCAGTGTTAGCAGAATATTAAAACGAAATAATAAATAAATTTAAAAAATAAAAAATAAAGTATTTTATTCAAGAATTATTGGAGAATCGTTTACAGAAGAAACATTGAACAAAATTGATTTTTTTATTACAAAGCCATCCATACCAATTTTAGTACTGATTGATTTCCCCCCTCGAATCATTTAATTTTTATTTTAAAAATTTTAATGATTTTTTTTATTTAAAAAAATGGCACTAATGCAAAAATGATGGAGGACCCTGTATAAACGTTAAAAAATTTTATTAAATAGAAAGCCAAATTAAAAAAAAAGATCACACGAAAGTTAAAAAAATATATCGCGAATCCTAAAATTACCGCGAAATGCAATTAAACCAATTAACGATCCTTTAACGAGAATTACCTACATGCAGAGAAAAGCATTTTCACATGGTTTCATTTAATTTCGAGAACGACACGAAAATTTGTCGGATGATAAAAACTTGATGACAATTGTCAGGATGCAAAGTGTACTGTGCAGTTTCGTACGCGGAATTAAACAAACAACAAACACAGGTCGTTAGCATCAATCGGCAATTAAAAAAAATTACGAACGCAAATTAGATGCGAGATTAATATCGTTAGAGAGAGATAATACCTCGTTTCCAGCGCACATCATGTGGTGGACCGTAACCAAAGCTTTGTACACCACCACCCAGTTCGTGTTTTGAGATCTTTCTATCAGCAGGTTTGCCAACTGTGGAATAGAGACGTTTGGTTCGTTTGTGCAGTGTGTCAAATCTGAAAAAAAAAACAGAAAACTAATTTTTTAAGCTTAAAAATAAAGACTTATACCGGGTGTATCTGAGAATAGGCGCACCCATGTAACTTTTTTATTTATAATAATAGACACATGATATTTACCACGGTTAATTAGAATATAAAATGCCACTTATAAGAGTACAAAATGAATTTTTTGAACTTCCGGTTTCGCCGGAAATGATACCAACTTTCGATTTTTAAATGGAATGCCCTATATATTTTTACATATTTGGAATCCTGAGGAAATTCTGAGTCATACAGCATCCTCAAATTGACCTGAAAATGCATCATCATAAAGATCAATCTAGAGTGCATTGAACTATTTGAGAAAAACGAATTTTGACAAGTTTAGACTGCTGGGAATAGCTGAATAAGAAATTTCCAAGGAAAATTCCATTTTTCAGGCATTGTGTGAATCCATTAGAAGAAAATAAGATAGTTCAAAGCACTCTAGATTGATCTTTATGATGATACATTTTCTGATGACGAAACGTCAAAAGGTCAATTTGAGGATGCTGTCTGACTCAGAATTTCCTCAGAATTTCAAATATGTAAAAACATATAATAATAATAATAATAATAATAATAATAGTTTATTCATCTTTAAAGTATTACAGAGATAACAGTGTATACTTATTAGACTAGTCAGGAAAATACAATACAATAGTTTAAGAAATACAAATTAAAAATATACAATTGCTAATTGCTAGAGCCAGAGTTGACTAAAAACACTTAATTAAAATTATCATTTAAAAACTCTTCTGCACTATAGTAAACTTTATCCAAAAATAATGCATTAAGGCGACTCGACATATATGTATACACACTTTTACAGTTGTTTACTAAATTAAAAGCTTTATTATAAAATTTGATACCTTGGTATATATGACTAGATTGGCTTATAGATAACCTCGAATATGGAGGATATAGATTTTCTTTATGTCTTGTTTCATAATTATGTATATTTTCATAAGATTGTATTAAATTTTTATTTTTATAAATATATATAATTAGATTTTGGATATATAAACAAGTTAAAGTTAAAATTCTTAAATATCTAAATAATGGTTTACACGAAAACGATTGATTTTTTCCAGCCATACATCTTATTATTTTCTTCTGTTGAATAAACACTCTATTTGCAAAACAAGATTTTCCCCAGAAAATAATACCATAGGTAATTTTTGACTGAACAAGACCATGGTACATCATTCTGAGGACTGATACATCCACAGTATTCTTTATATATCTAATCAAATAATTTACAGAGCTAAGTTTCTCGCACAAAATATCAGCATGGTATTCCCAAGTTAATTTATAATCAATATTAACACCAAAAACTTTGTTTGCTGGACTGACGGAATGGTCCTATGGTTAAGTTTAATAAGTAAGTCATGACTCAGTGAAACATTTTTTGTGAGTCATGACTTACTTATTAAACTTAACCATAGGACCATTCCGTCAGTCCAGCAAACAAAGTTTTTAGGGCATTCCATTTAAAAATCGAAAGTTAGTATTATTTCCGGCGAAACCGGAAGTTCAAAAAATTCATTTTATACTCTTATAATTGGCATTTTATATATAAAATATATCCTAATTAACCATGCTAAATTTCATGTGTCTATCTTTATAAATAAAAAAGTTACAGGGGTGCGCCTATTCTCAGATACACCCGGTATATCTTTTTATACAATGACAGGCAAAAGTATGAAGTTTAGGAACATTTCTTCTATAAACACTTTTTAATTTTATCAAAACCCCACTAAAAAGTCTTTTAATATAAACTATGAAACATTATTAAAAACTATAAATTTACCACTTTTAATAATTATTAATTATTAAAATTAAATTAAATTAAATTTTAATTTAATTAAAATTAAATTAAAATTAATTATTAATTAATTAAAATTAATTATTAATTAATTATAATTAATATCTCCGAAAGTCCAAAAGGTATAAGGGTTAATATATTGAGATGTCCCCCAAGTGAAAATGATTATTTTTTATTTTTGGTTGTTTCACTGTTAGTCTAGAATGGGGTTTTTGGGAAGCCACCAGGTCTAGTAATATCATAACTTAAGTGGTTCTGCACTAATGCAAAATTTTTAAGAAATCATGAATATAAGAGCTACACGGAAGATAGCTTCACGGAGGTTAGGATTTCGTATGTTTTTTTAAACTTCCCTTTGTATATTTTATATAAGTTATTTTATCTTTTGACACCTTAATATTTTTAAAAATGAAATTGAACATAAAATAAATAAAAAAAATATTACACTTCACAGTGGATAGGTTTTTAAATAGCAAATTAATGAACTTAAACATTTGAATTATAAAACAGCAACACTCTCATCTGTATATAAATTATAACTGACCTTCAGAAAACACATGCATCTATAATATCGTAAACAGAGGTTTTTGCTTATTTAAACTGATTAAAGGGCCATCCGTTAAATAAAATTTAAAGCAAAAACAGATTCACAGAGGATAGAATCAATTTGTGTAGCACCTAAATAAATGGTTATAAAAATTATTTCTTTTAATTTTTAATAATACTCTATATTTAATTCGATTGCTTTGGATGTGTTTAATTTACTTAGTGAACTGATATTTTTAGTATGATTTTACTACCTCAGATATTTGAAAACATATATGTTTAACTAGAAAGAGTAACAGTCACGGAGGATAGGTTTTAGACTTTTAAAACATTGTAAAAAATAATTAATTGCGGTTAAAAATCTGGAACCTGAGCTGTAATATCTACTTAATTATGAAAGATCAAAACACAATAAAAGTGTAGGTCAAACTCATTTAGTTTTATTAAAAATTACGGGGTACACAATCGGGGGACATTTCGTGAGATTCACCCATAAATGTGCATATTGCTGAAACCATAATTTCATAATCTTGTGTATTATTTAAAAAAATATATAAAATAACATCTTAAGTTAACAAAAGATACAAAGTAAAAAACTAAACTAACTAAAACAAAAAATGTATAAACCATAGTTTGTTGAACTCGTATAGTTTACGTACTTATTTCGATCTGTAATGTTATACATATACATAAAATTAAAACAGTAAACAAAACAAAACGTATAACTTTCAGATGCAATTTTATAGCGGCGTTACGCTAGAGTGAAAGTAACAAAACAAAATAAAGTACAAACCAAAACAATGCCACATAAATAAAAACGCCTAATTAGAGTAAGATTAGTTAGGGAAAAAATTGTCTGATATTTTATAAACAACAATGGTTATATTTAAAAATATTTTGTTGTTTTTTATTTGTTTTAATATTCTATTCAAGAAATTTGTTTACGTATTTATTTAGGAAACAATAAAAACACTGATCGACAAAATACAATTTTTTTATTATACTAATTATACTAATTGTAGGTACGTTTTATGAAGTAATTTAGTAAAATACACAAATGTTAAAAAAAATTTAAAACAAAAAAATATATGTAAAATAGGTACCCTGTTAAAATGAATAAGTCAAAAATGACTGATAATTATAATTATATAATGACACTAATTATAATTAATTATAATTAGTGTCATTTTTTACTAATTATGATTTGTAGGTAAATAGTTAAATTTTTATCACTTAATTAAAATAAAAAAAGTTTCAAAAATCATTAAAAAAGTTATGACGTTACTGAGAATTGAACTCGGGTCTTTCGGTTGTCAACCACGACTAACATGATCAATATTTAAAGTTATAACACAGTATAACACAATGAATCTTTAATGTTGGTTACAACAACGTTGCACTACACTTGCATATAAATTATGCGAATAATAAAAACATGGTTATATAAATATGCATGGCCTCAGTGATGAGCAGAGCGTGACAACCCCTATGGACGTATACGTTTTCATGGCAACGTATACTTTGAACACTTTTGTGTTTAATGCACATGAGCGTGCAGAAAAATGCAAGAAGTTTTCAAACCTTTGGCACGCCATTTTAATATTTATTAAATTATTTTTAGTTTAAAATTTTATTGGTTTAAAATTTTCCTAGCTAAAAATTTTAGACAAACATTTATAAATTTAAAATATTTTTAACTATCATGTATTGAAAAACACACTTCTGTATTAAACAATATTATTTCCAATTAATTTTTGAAAAATTTCCATCATTTTTTAATAAAGTATAATTTATTTGGGCAGAATTTTTTAAATCTTAAATAAATATTTTATAAAATTATTTAGATTAAATTGGTAAAGTTAAATTTTTTAGTATTTAAAAATAGTGTCTAGACGTTTAAAATAAAAAACACATAAAAATGTTTCACCAAAATAGTTTAAAAAGTTAAAAAATTTTAAATTCAAATCAATTGAGAATTAAAAAATATTTTAAATATAAAATGCAAATTTGCATTTATGTAAAAGTTTTACATACATACATTTACATTTATGTAAAGTTTAAGTTTAAAATATTGGTTTTTAAAAAATGTAGTTTTAATATTTTATTTTACAAAATTATTGGTTAAAATTTTTAAAGAGTCATTTAAATGATGGTCGATACATTTTTAATACAAAAATTCTCACATTACATTTAAATGTTAGTTTTAAATTTTAAAGTGGTAATTTTTGGATTAAAAATTTATTGAATATCATTAAAATTACTATTGAGAAATTAAAACCAATAAATTTTATTTTTAACAAATTTAAATTAATACATTTTCAACACAAACATAAGGCAAAGAAGACAGTTATCGGATACTTTATAGATATTGGACAATTAACATTAATACTGTAAAAACAAGAGTTCTATAAATAGTTACCTTAAAGTCAAATCATTAGATGGCGGTGTATACAATTATAACCATCTCAGTCGGTAATAATATAGAACTACTTTTTTTTTGTTAAGAGCAGGGCCGTGTTTAAATTAAAATATATTTTTTTTAAAAGTGTACAGATCAGTGTGTGGTATAAATGTGTTTCTCATGGTTTAAACATTGTCACTT